AAGACAAAGAGTTAAACAAAGGTTGGGGTATCTGAGCAGTAGCCCACGTATCACTACCCAACTCAGATCGATTCCTCAACCTGGAGGACCAGGAGATTGGATTTCGTCCGTTCTTTTGTCTATCCTTGGACTTTCCAGGAATGATTATATCTTTGTCTCAATAAGAGCTATCCTGTGTAGCATGTTTGGGTCACAAACGTGCACAAACCATCACGTCAAGGTGCAGTCTCATCGTGATGAAAATTTGGGGAAAAACGGCACGCATGAAAAATTTCAAAGAGCAATCAAAGTTATCAGTTGAGAAAACTGGCCAATAAATACTCAAGGTTTTCGTGAAACACAAAGATGAAGTGAGTAGGCTGAAAAAGTAATATGTGAGTATCTTAACAAGGTAGGCAAGTATGAGGCTCAGTGTAGGATCGTAACAGAAAAGCTCCAGCTGTTAGTGAAAACGCGTCATCTACCGTCGGTACAAAGCTAAGTCTGATCCTACTATGTATGCCTCCCCATAACTTCTCTATATCTATATCCATAACGCAATAATAACAAGTTTGCGTCTGTAATCGGATGGGATGGGTCTGGAACTGCAAATGGCACGAACGTGCATGTGACCTGACAATTGATCACAATAGCTGGTCAGAGCGATCGCGCATACACACACACACACACACACAACAGAGTGTATCAGGCAAGGATGAGTGAACAGATTCGGGTTGACACGTAGACACCAACGAACGCCAGGACGTGGAGTGTGTGTGTTTGTGTACATCCATCATGCTACAGTACGACCAATCCGTGTGTGTGTGTGTGTGTGAAAACGAGCCCAGATTGAAGCAGAAGTCTCACGGGTATGGTGGGTGGCTGCGACATCACTGGTTAAAATGTGAAGTTACCGGTCGGTGAAATACGTAACACCTTTTTATTTTATTTCAACACGTAACCAATTACAGAGAACTGGTAAATGTGCCACAACATATGAACAAAAAGAAATCTGAAGAATGTGTTCATAGGTTGTGTGGGCATGTTACTTCTTGATTGCCCTGACCGAGGAAGGGGGTTAACCTGGGGGTTCCCACCCGAAGTCTGGCTACAGAGCCAGACCTGCAAGACAATAGGACGGAGCTCCGAGTCCGCAGTTCATTGGATCATACGCCCTTGGGGCGGGGTCAAACGTCCAAGGTGCCTAATATACCTCGATGCCCAACTGAGCCGGTGACCATTGCGGCAAACAGGGTGGTGTGCATGGGGTTCGTACGCTTCTTCTTGGTTGGTTTGGAATCAAGATGATATTTGTAAGACAAAAACAACCTAAAACGTGGCGCGGGAATGAGAGCTCACCAGAGGCAAATTAATTGAACTGCGTTGTTCCGGTCACTTTCACCAACCGGGAGATGGGTACAAAAGAAACATGTTCAGATTAAACAAAAATGAACATATGATGTAACTGATGTTATTATCGGCAGTTACAGTCCGAAAATGAGTAAATACCACTAGCATGCGCTTTAGTTCTATTTGTGTGATACCGTAAAAATGGTAACATTTTTGTAGCATCAGGTTATGTTACCGCTTGACCATTTCTAGTTATTTCGGCTTCCTCGAAGTTGCCTAGCCGGGCCACGAAACGTTAGCAAAGAACACTTCCAGCTCGGAGAACACACCTCCTACAACATCCACATCCCGCGCTACAATCGTTCCACATTATTTCCAAAATGTACTGTCAGTGAAATGTGAACACCGAGTAATTTACGTCCACATTAACCTCATACAATTAGTCAACATTTGCTAAAACTTAGAAAACACGCTAAAAAAAGTCAACGATTTAATTTATATTGAGCCTTCCAAAGATACACAGAATTCCCTTGTACGCTTTTCCATTTCGCTGTAGTGATCGATCTGTTTTAATACTGCGCAGTTTCATAGATCTACTTCCAAAATTATTCGACGGCATACTGTATCCATGCTGGATTAAGTTTATTTCTGTCAAGTCCTCAGCTTCTGAAACCCATTCTTTTTTTGAAGAAGCTTGTTCACCACACACACGTTTTAAATAATGCAAAGCAATTTCAATTGTGGTTTATCATCACTAATGTATTTAGACTCGAGTAACCACTTGCGGTGTGGCACATCTTGTGCTGCTACATATCGAGCATAGGAGACAGATCAATAGTTTCACAAATTCTGAAATAACATGCATCCTCTTTTACAGTGTTCAGGGTATTTGCATTGCCTGCTACTATGCTATACTTTTTATCACGTTCCGTTTGTCGGAAAACAAACCACCCAGTGCTTTATTCTCTAAAATGGCACTGGTGATTAGTCCCCAATACACGCATATCGAGCCCAGAGGTTTTTCGTTTATACGTCAAAAACAATCCTCAATGGCAGCAAACAGCTCAATTATTGACGAGCTTGATGCCGTAAGCACCCTACTGGGGAAGATTTTTATCACTCGGAATATTATTCTATACCCACAGTGTGGATCCCTGGTTACGTTTAACAGAAGTTTTGCATACGGAAATATGCACAGAATGCTAAAGTGAAATGTGGATGTCCAATCGGCTCTGCTGAACCAAGCATTCGACATTTTGTCACATTACTCCATCAATATGCAATGCAGCCCCAACCCCAAATTGACCGAAATCAAGCAGTGCTTCGACGATGTGCAACGAAAGTTATTACACACAAAAGACAATGGAAACGATTCGGGAGTGCGCCGTGATGCCAGTAGCGCTATGGACAACGCATGACGAAAAGTATCGCAAACGACTGGACTTACCTATGCAGTACCCAAGTATGATATTGCGGAACACGACGTCCTGTGCACAAACTGAACATCCCGGTGGCACCAGTTGCTAAATTCACACCGAGCGGGCAACCCTGACGACCAGGGGGACAACAGGAGCCGACCAGGAGCACATGATCACCTTGTGTGTATGACAGTAGCCCAACTTCTGGAGTAGACTTCAGAGGATATAAGAAAGTAGGACCGAGCCGATGTGACGCATTCTCAGATTCTGGGATTGTGGGATAGCAAAAAGGAGATTGCGGTTTATCACTTGCAGTGACTGGCTCACAATTGACCGCATCAGACGTCGTGGGAGCAGGCGACTCGAATGAACCATTTCCAGTCCCCTTAGATTCGGTCAGCGCAGTAACATCGTCTGCCGTGACCAGCTCGGTTTCCATGGTCGTTAGCATTTCGTATACCTAGAGAATAACAAAGAAACAATAAAAATCTTATTTTGATCCCCGAATTAACATTTTCCCAGAGGTCGAGAAGCTGATCAGATACTTGCGTATTATCCACAGAGAGTCAAATGACCACCACATGATTGTATGAATGCATGAGGAAGTGCAAACCTTGAACAAAGGCACAAACGGAAGGCATGCTTGAAGTACAAATGACAGATTAATTAATTAATTAATTAATTAATAAGCTCCAGCTATGCCTGGAATGCGTCTTGCTACCCAATGTATGGATTGATAACCTTTATTGAGGCAACGCAGATACTAGCACAGTAGTCGTATAAAAGTAGTTACATTCTACTCACATTTTATGGGTGGTATTCTGTTGCTCGCATAATGAGGCAGTCCGCCGTTTATCGCGACGTAACGGGGCAGAATCATGGACCCGTAGTGTAGTGTCAAAATATGCAGACTGTTGAACTCGTTGAATAGCGACCGGGAATCTTTCGGGAAAACGTGACTGGTCTGCTTCAGATTACATGCTTCGTTCTGTTAACACTATATACCCGCTAATACCTTCGCTCGAAAAACAATTCCTCAGTTCAGCACCGGAGTTATTGATCTAGAACACTAACAGCGGTAGCGACAATAACTGTGAGGGAGTTAGCATGATCCTTGCCTACTTCTGGGACAACCACTCAGAACAACAATAGGCGAGCTCAGGTGATGAATTGTAACCACCAACCAATCAAGGCGGTTAACAGCAATTCAATCAATCAAGCGGTTGATATATTCTCCTTGTTCTTACCCACAAATAACCATGATTTTTGCATAATAAGTGAATTCTAACACGCTTCCAGCTGTGTTCTATTTCACTACCTGTGGACGAGAAAAGTTACCGGAAGAAGATCCTTTGAGAATCCAGTGCCGAGCTAAATCCTGTGCAGTTACAACAACAACGAACCAACATCAGGTGTTTTTGGTGTCAGGTCAGAATGCACTGAAAGCATTCTGAGTTCAGTAATGATCAGGTAAGTTCGCGATACGATGAAGATAACGAATTTGGCCTCGAATCACCCGGTATTTCTACGGTTTATTGGAGCGAGGAGAATGGCAAATGAGAAACAACCACAACAGTTCTGGTGTGATTCGGGAATTTACGGAACCGACAGGTGATCACCGTTTGCTATGCATTTTTTACTTAGGATTTGTTTCATTTGAAATACCTTCATATGAATACCATATCCGAGAGTAGGGTCAGAACTTAGCTTAGCCTCAAAACAGCCCGTGAAATTCTCTCAAGAGGAAAATAAAATAAAATAAAGCGGCCGTTTATCGGACAAAAGTCTCAGTATGGTTGGGGGTGGGTGTCATCATCATCATCGTCGTACAGCGAAATACAGTGAAGCGAAATTCACTGATCGAGGGTGAGTGTCTAGAGTTGTGGCTGGTCACCCTGCCCTTGCACCTCGTGAAATGCCCCCATACGACCAAGTGTCTCGAATAGCCTCTGCTGAGGAAGTCCTAATCACTGCCTTCTCGTCGCGGATGTTTTCCCACCAAAGTGAGAGAACAAAAAGCCGACATACGGGGCTATAACCGGGTTGGTGAACCACTGGTAGTTCACCTAGGGGAGTTGGCCGAAAACCCTGATTCCAAGCCAACCAAGAGGCGTGCGAACCACACTCAGCCACATTCTCCTCGGTGTGGCAGTGGTCACCGGCTCGACTGGGCACCTTAGACGNNNCCGCCCCGCTGCTAGCCAAAGCTCCGGTTGTGGGTTCCTCGAGAAAATTCACCTGGCTTGGCCTGAGCAACCTGGCAGTATTGCGTCCACATGCAACTCATGGAACGTTTGTATTTTCATAACAATTATTGTACCATGATTAGCTTGGCACAGTCTGGATTCAGACGTGTGTGAAATATGTATGATATAAATCGGACAACTGAAGGTTGGCTAATCCATTATTCATCGTATAGTACATAATAATTCGGACATCGGGGTCTGCATACCTTTGTTCGAGCACTTTTGGGAAGTTTCCTTCACGCCTCTTGGCGATCGATACGCAAAAGTTTCAGTTATGATAGCTGATAAAGAGCACTGAATACAAGTGTTTCGTTCATATCGACATTGAACAGCAGTGCGTACTTATCCAGTTCAGGTACTCGAATCAGGAACTAGGCTTTAAAAATCTGGGCGCTGTTTTCTTTTGACGGAAAGAAAGAGAAACGTTTATTCATCACCGAACGAAAAGAAAAGCTAGGACGACTGACCGGTGATTTGGAGTCGAACATGCGAAAGACAGAAAAAATAAGTGAAAAGTGACATTCAGGGTCTTGAGCAACGTTCAAGGTGGCGATCCTAAATGAACCAAACGAGCCAGAAGTATTCGACTGACAACCTGACGAATCGCCCTATGTGTGATGAAAACCCCATATAGCTCGGCCTAGTATTGCCAACAGCAATTTTGCTGCAATTACATCTCTGATTCCTCCATGCAACACAGGAATCTGTACCCCGTTGAATTGTGTATCATTTTCCTATTTGTTTCAAACCGGTGCGTCAAGTGAAGCCACGAAACAAATGAGTGAGGCGGACGTGGAATGCGGTTTGTTGTGACCGAAGATTTTTTCTGCTGTGTTGTCCGAGATAGTGAAGAACCAGGACTATGTACATAATTGCAAAGAAGAAACTAAGTTCGCTTTGAAAGCATATTTAGAGACGGATTAATGGCGTACGCCAAAAAATTAAAAAGAAAACTGGTCTCATGTTGTAGAGTGACAAGCAGCAGTTCAGTCGGATTCCACAGTATCACATGCCTTAGAAAAGTCAGAAGGATTATATACAGTTGCGTACACACGAATTCAGAAACCGTAAAACCTAACCCATACCATTGCTGGCTGCGAACGGATTTAAAATCCGACAAAGCGTCCATTTCGGTGTTTGTGGTCTCTTTAGGTGACCCTTGGCCCCGTTGTTTATTGGTCTATTTGACAGACAGTCGTGTGGAAAACAAACGCGCGAATCTAACACACACACAGTGAACAAATATCCAGACAAAGGGGTCAGTCCGAAAGGTGACATGGGTGCACGCGTGCTTACGGTCCGGGGACTACAGATTTCCTTTTCGAAGAAAACAATCTTGCGCGCGGTAGAAAAATCGCCTAATAAAAGTGCACAGCGAGACGAGGACGACCGTACAGAGCGAGAGAAATTCCAACATGAGTGAAGGGCAAAACGACCCAGGGATTAGGACCGATAGAGATCCTTGCGCACAGCCGGAAAGCACCAGTTGATTGCGTATTTGGCAGACAGCAAGTACGCCAAGAAAATATTTGTTTAGCGAACCTAAATGACAGAATTTGACGAAATATAAATACACCGATTGTTTCACTTCAGCAACTGAAAGAAGCCAACCGAACAACAGAATAGAAAGTAAGACGATTGTGAGGGGGAGGTCGTTCGGACAAACGAACTGTGAGACAACAGACTAATGGTCTGTATCATTCGAATGTAACCACCCCAGATATAATTGCCCCCCCCCCCCCCCCTCGTTACATTTTGTGAGTGTCGTGACAGCTGTGTGCAATTATGCAAACTAATCCGTCCTAGCGAGCAGGAATGATAATAATGGAAAAGCCAATGAGAGAATCAGGAGGAGACGTATTGGAGGCGGGAATGTCAAAAATACGAACGCTGTTTGAGACGACAAGGAAATTTAGGTCATGAGGGCCGCCGTGGTCGAAGATCGAAAGCGCGGGACAAAACAAGGTTTCAACAAGGCAAATGTGGTTATTGATCCAAGAGGTGGAAACGCTGTGTACCATCAAGATACTGAGCCAGGAGGATAAAACGATATATATGACTAGGTTGATTATAAACTTGCTAATTAGATGGGTCAGTAAAGAAACGATGCAATATGGTTTCGTTTGTCGCTTAGTTTGTAACAGAGAATAGCCATTCGAATTTAGGAAACAGTTCCAATACCACGTCTAATAATGCGGCATTTTGAGGAGTTTTTCGGATAAAGCAATGGTACGTGATTACGGACACGTTTTTGGTTTCCAGACGCGATGAACTTGAAACACGACCCATAAACCACAGCGATGTGAAATAGTTTATTGGCATACATACAATAGAACGTCTCATTTCCAACAAGTCTTCAGCATTCTCACAAGCACACAGGATAATTAGTGGAACGGTCCGGCAGAGAACGCGCGTCTCCCGCAGTTACCATACTGAACACAGTGATTCGCTCTAAAAGGTCCTGTCCATTTTTGATCGTTGAAACAGCCAATGACGTTCTTTTGTGCAATGCAAACATATCTCAACCTTTGTTTAACTCTTGGTCTTGCGTTCCCAACCCTCTCCCTTTACGCCTTCTACCGACCTGTAATAGTCCCTCAAGCAACTTGGATGTCGCTCGCCAAAGGTCATTGCCAAATAGCACTGTAAGTGATTTACCACTGAATGGATTGCAGATTCTAGAGCCTCGTCAATCATTGAATCTGGGGGCCTTCAACGTGAGGACTTTGATGCAGCTAGGTCAACAAGCTTGTCTGGCTCGTACAATGGAATCCTTAGGAATCGATATTTGCTGCGTGTCGGTGACTCGGATCCAGGATCCTACTACCCTAAGCCACTTAAACGCGCCAGATTTCCCGACAAGATCCGTTCTTCGCACATCAGGCAGTAGATCAGCGCAGAGTAGGTATTGCACTCAGTAATTAGGGCGGAGTTCTCTCTAAT